CAGGAAGGGGTAGCGATCCGAGGGCTTGATGAGTCTTAGCAGTCTCTCCGTCACATCGTGAATCCTAGCTCCTGGCAAGCAGCAAACTTCTCAGTTTTCCTGGTTGGGATGGCAGACAGATGACTCAGTCCCCCTGAGGAGGGAGTCCCTTACCACCACCACCCGCCTCTTCTCTTGGGAGCAGTGGTCGTGGAATCCCCATGCCTAGGACAGTGCATCTCATGCCTTCCAATCGGTGGAGTTTCCTTCTGCTCCTTTCCCTCAGATGTATCATCTACTCCATTCTCCGCATTAGTACCTGTGGAGAGAACATGCTCACCTGTATCTGCATTGCTGGTACATGGACACTCCTCTTTCTTCTTATGGGTTTCAGCTGCAATGCAAAGGTAGGAGCAGAAAGTGCAGAGCGCTCTGTGATGGTCATAACAGAAATGGCTGGATTCAGGAACGGGCAACTGGAGGGACTGCAGCCTATGCAGCCACTTAGTACTGACGCTGCTGTACCCAAGCACTAGGCACTAGCAGAGGGACATTGCTTTAGGCAAGATTCCTTTGCTAGTAACGCCCTGGAGTCTCATTTGACTTAAGTCCTAATGGATGACCTCGGAGATTTCTGCCTGCTTGGTCCTCTCCCTGGTCTATGTGGAACACCAGCCACAGAGGGGGCAGCATCCACGGGGACTAGGGCAGCAGCTTTTGGCTGACAGAGAAATGCAGTCAGATCCCTTTGGCAATACACCTCTACCCCGATAGAACGCGACCCGATAGAACACCAATTCGGATAGAACGCGGTAAAGCAGCGCTCCGGGGGAACGGGGTTGCGCACTCTGGTGGATCAAAGCAAGTTCGATATAATGCGGTTTCACCTATACCGGGGTAAGATTTTTTGGCTCCCGAGGACAGCGTTATATCGGGGTAGAGGTGTAGTTTTGCCCTGAAATCTCGACACAGAACTTAGATTCCCAGCCCCAAAGGCCCTTGGTCTGGGCCCTGCTCTGGGATACAGAGGCTGCTCTGGCTTCTTGGGGTGATGGCAGCTGGAGTACTGCAAACCAGCTCCTGCACTCTGTCCAGTTATGGTGCTGCAGCTGTGATGAGGAGTCACTTCTGGTAGGCTGAGACCCCTGGGGTGGGTCTGGGTCCCCCTGTACCTCCCCAGTGCTTTCAGTGGCCCCATGTCACAGGGAGGCTTTCCAAAGAGGGCTCTCTCTGTAGTCAGCCACCACCCTGGCCAGGGGGACAGCAAACAACATGTTATCAATAGGAAATATTTTACAACTTCCCCCAGCTTGACAGCCCTGCTTTAATCTCCCCTCTGACACTAACCATGGGCCAGATGGACTGACAGTCTCCTCCCTCCCCAGACAGGCAGCACCCTGGCATTGCATTTTCAGAGCTACCTGCTTCTTGGTAGGCAAGGAACTCCCCTGCCCCACATCTTTGTCACACGCCAGCTTGCTGGGGGTAGTTCTGAGAAGGCTCTGAAGGGGGTGGCTGACAGGTCCAAAGGAGGGTTATTAGGAGCAGTTATGTTAGTCTCTAAGGTGCCACAAGTACTCCTGTTCTTTTTATTAGGAGCAGTGTTCATTGTCCCCCAAAAGCAGCACTTAGGCCACTAGCTATCTCTGCAGCCGTAGCCCTTTGACTGGGTAAGCGGAGTTCTCTGCTGAATGCATCTGTTCAGTGACACATTGAGAGTGCCACTTACTGTAACAGCTGTCTCTAATATCCTGGGACCAACCCAGCTACAACTGCACGGCATACACATTTTACCATAACATTTGTCCCACACGCACTCACGCTGCTTTCCGGGCTGAGTCACCTGCACAGTGTCTTCTGCTGACAGATGAATGAATCTGGCAGCTGGCCACTCTGAAACATTTGGGAATGCAGCTGTTCTGAAAGCTGGGTGCATTGCTCTGCGGCTGGTAGATTCTCACTTAGGTATAACTGTGCCAGGATTTGAGGTGTTTAGTTGACTGAAAAGAGCAGCTTCCCCCATAAATCACCTATCATTCATCTAACACTGTCCACCTATGGATCCCAAAGTGCTTTACAGAGAAAGGTGCATGTTGTTATTCCCATTTTACAAAAGTGGAAACCAAGGAACTGGAGGCTGTGACTTGCCCCAAGGTCACTCATGAGTCAGAGGCAGGCTGGCATTAGAGGACAGCTCTCTTGACCCCCAGTTCTGAGGGGTCAGTCACTTTAGACTATGCTGACACTTGAGGCAGAGGAAGGGGGTTACATTCTTCCATCTTCATGTGGTTTGCACACAGGTGGAAGGCGTGTCCAAGGCAGTGCCCATAGATGTCATTTACTAGAAGCTGTGTTACTAGCTATACCCATTGCAGCCCGGAGCTGTCCTGCTATCATTAGTGTTATTCATGGCATTAGTTTAATCTGTAACAAGACATGGAGCTTTGCAAGCAGCAGCCATGCTAAATGAGTGCTTCTAGATCGTGATGGCAACTTTTCCCGACCTAGTGCTAAACATTTCCCAAATCTAGTGAAAAATTCCCAGATAAAGTATTTTACAGTGCTTCTGTATCCTGGGAAATTTCCCCAAACCTGGGAATTTGTGAGTAAAATGTTTCAACTTGGGAAATTGGGAATTTTCATGCAAAACATTTTACTCAAAAATTCCCAGACTTTGGGAAATTTCCCCGGATATAGAAGCACTGCTGACTTCTACAGCTGGCATTCTGAAGGCAATTAACTCCTTCTCCAGCCAGGGCAGCTACTGCTAGGATGGAAGCACAGGAGAGAGCCCCACCTAAAAATGCCCGAGTGCTGCACGCCAGTAAAAGATCCATGAAACTCCATCAGTTAGAGCCTGTGCTCAGCAGTGATCCCAGCACTGTACCACAGGCTGTATGGAAGCTCCCCCATGCACACAGTTCTGACTGTCACCTTCTAAAGCGGCTCCTGTCGCTATGAGGAAGGCTCAGCTGGAGAGTTTGGGATGGTGCCGCCACTCCCAGCTCTCGGCCAGTTGAAAGAGAGTATGTAGGGTACAGTCTTGCAGGGATTAGGGAAGTGTGCTGAGATAGTTTGGGTGAGTTTGGATTGCGGGCTCCGGTATGCGCCTGTCTTTGGCTAATTGAGAATGATCCGCTCCCCTCCCTGCCACTGTCCCGCTCCCCTTGGGCATCCCGGGGGTAACCAAAAGGAAGAGCTGTAAAACGAGTATCAGAAGGAAAAGTTAGATGGGTTACACCTTCTAATGCAGAGGGAGGGGTGACATGGATAGGCTTCTGGATCGCATTAATCCCCCTCAGCTGTAGAGTGCAGGTCTCTTGCTTCTCTGCACCAGGCCTCCGATTGTGGGTGTGGGGAAATGCTCCCAGCAATCTGCAAGGTTCTGATCTGTCTAAATTATGCCATTAGTGAGGAAAGAGTGGGTTGATATCCGAGCAAAGCGGCCCCCAAACCATCTTCCCAGCACACGCAGAGCACCACCGACTCTGGTACCTGTCGGGAAAGAAAACTAATGAGGTTGGCCAGATTTCCTGGACGTGAAGGTGAAATACAATGCTTAAAAACCGAAACTGTGTGGGCTGGGTGCTGCCACTCTCACTCACAAGTCATCACTGAAATATACATTCACCATGTCTGAGCAGCTGGAATAGCCACGTGATCGCTTTGGAGAGGCCTGTGGTCATTCATGTACTTACGAATATATTTACAAATCCATTTTTCTGACATTTATTCTGGCATCTCCCACCCTGAGCAGCTTCTCAGAGCTGCAGTTAAAAAAGTTACCTGCCTGAGAATGTTTTCTTCTCCCCATAATGTGAAATCCACTCCCCTGGCCCCAGATACCCTAGGATTGGGCAAGATTCAGTTCTGGACCAGGGACAGGATTTCTGTATGAAAAAATGTCACCGCTTTAAAGTCCAGCAGGGCTAGGCCTGGGTGCTTTGGGTTTTTTTTCTTACCTTCTTCCTCTGAAGCGTCAGGGCTGGCCCCAGCCAGAGATGGGACATTGGACGGGGTGAGCTGGTGCTCTGTGGTGGCACCGAGGATTCTCTCTCTGAGGGGTGTGGCTGGCTGGTTCTTGTTCATATGCTCCTGGTCTAACTGATCACCATACGTCGAGTTGGCAGTGACCTGCGGGCGGGGGGATTGGCTTCCTCTGCAGCATGTGGATGTGGGTCACTTGCCAGGATTATCTGGGTATCTCTCACTTAATCATTTCCTGGCCAGAAGTCTAGTCTCCTGCCAGCTGTGATACTTTGGTCTCAATTTGGTTGTTGGGTTGAGTGTGTGGGTGCTGAGTGGTGTCGATGGCCTGGGATATACAGGATATCAGACTACATGATCTGATGGTCCCTTCTGGCCTTAAACTCTATGACTCTTTATCCCATTGAGAAGGGGAGTGTCCGTGCTTAGCAATGGGAAGAAGATCCCAAGGTATGGGACAGTTGTGGGTCTATTTACGCTCATGTTTAGAGCCGTTCTGCATTTGTTAGTTTTTATGAGTTTGAGCCCTGCTCCATTGGACACATACAACAAATAATGCCAATTACAGTCTTTAAAACTCGAAACCATTTGCAGAATATTTTTGACCACATATGGTATGTACAAAATCCAAGCTGGGTGCTGGGCTACTGACTGGGTTTTATTGGCATTGTGGTGTTCATGAGTAATGCAACCGTTTCACATCAGTGCTGATAAAACCCTTGTACCAACCACCCACTGTGCTGTGCGTGTGAGTGTAAGTCCATAGAGCCAGATCCTCAGCTGGCGTAAATCTGTTTGTGCCAGGTGAGGATTTGGCCCCATGTTTTGGTTAATCTTTGGCTCACTCAGCTAGTATTGTAGCTCCATGCCCTATAATGCTGAGAGAGACTGATTCCCTGCAGTTCTCAGTTTGAGTTACTCCCCTTTGCATTATCAGCGATGTCAGGAATTATAATGACAGAGTGGACTAGACCCTTGGAAATTCAGTTCTCGCTCTCTCTCCTTTGCTTTCTTTTGGTTTCTCACGGTCCCAGGAAATGCAGGGAAAGGCAAATCCCATACGGGATCTGGGCGGAAATCCAGGCTGATGAAGACAGTGCAAACTATGAAGAGCTATGGGAACTACCAGAACTGCACCATTGTGAGGCCTCATATCCCGCACTCCAGCTATGGCACCTATGTGACACTGGCCCCCAAAGTGCTCGTGTTCCCTGTCTTTGTGCAGGTAAGCTGGCCCTTCCCGGCACATCTGGAAACCAGGCTGTATGGCCAGGGGGGACTGACTGAAATCAGGGGGATTTAAATCACCAAGTGCAAAGCCTGGATTTAAATCATTGATTTTAATCAGCTTCTCCAGTTATTTTCTAAAGAAAGGTGCTTTCTCTCTGGCTGATATAACTGATAAAACATGTTGATTTATAACCAAAGAGTGCCTTTACACTAGATTTGGTACATCTTTTTGCAACCTAGCAGGGTACACAATAACACTATAACAAGGTACAAAGTTATTTATCTAGCCTAATATTGTCAGATTCTTATTAATTGTACATTTAGTATGTTAGAAATGGGGAATGATATATTGCTTATTTATGAGACAATGAACTTTTGGCTCATGATTTGTGCCAAACTGCATTAGGATGGTAACAGGGATTTAATTAAACACACAAAACTGCATATAACATTTATTTTGATTAAATAAAACAATCTTAAATGTTTTGGATATGTAAATTTCTCTTATCAAAACCCGTTTCACATTCACAACTAAGTTATAAGAAGTTCAGGCCCTAACATATCTTGTATTAAAATCAGATTTCATTTTAAACAGGTTTATTTTTAAAAAAGAAAAACGTAATTTAAATAACGAAATTAAGCAATCGGATTTTCCCCTGTTTACCCAGCCTGGTGTGGCCCAAAGGCAGCCCGTGTATCACAGACTCGCCCTGCACGTGCTAACTTCAAGTACTCTTAACAAACTGCAGTGCTGCCTGCTCTTTGCGCCAGAGAATGTGCCTCACATCTGTATCCCACTGTGGAAAATACTTTTCCTTTAAGCTCTTCATTCACCTCTGTGCCTCAAAGACCCACTCGTAAGCCACCATTTACCGCTAGAATCGACTTTCATCAAAAGTCTTTGGTCAGGGAACTGAGCTGTTGGCTGTGGGAAAAGACCCTTGTCCACGTGCTGTGCTGCACTCCAGGGATGGTGCTGCCAAGCGCAGCGTCTTGGCAGGAAGCACAGAGTTTGCCGCCAGAGCTTGAGTGATGACTATAGATACTGTCATAGAAGGGAAAGAAATCCTCCATGCAATGTGTACCAAAGAACTGGATCCTTCCTCATTTTCAGCTTCCCCCTCCTAGTATTGTCTAGCATTCAGTGCCTCTCTGGGGAACTACGTCCTGCTCTTGTAAGGGGATGGACTTCCCCTTCTCTAGCTTCTATGGTTGACATTGTAAAAGGGCAGCTTTCCACCTTTGGTGCTTGGCTGCTTGAGCCGTTTGGGGGAAGCCTGACCAGTCAAGCCTGGGTTTCGACCACAGAGTTCTCATTACAGAAGGTACTGAGCGACATAGCTTCTGCTCGTGGCTGCAAAGGTGCACTTGTGCAGCTGGGAATGTAACTAGGAATTTCATGTAGTCTTGTCACTTGGCAGCCCTAAAATCAAAGCACGTCAAGACAGGCATCAGGATGTAGATGGATGGTAAGGTGGAGAGGGGGCTCTAACTTCCCAATCCCACAAACTTTGGTCTTGCAGTTTAGCTCTGACTTTGATGATAAGAGCTGGTTTTAAGGCTTCCACCTCCTGCTTGTGCCCAGGTGGTATTGCACAGCTTTTCATGACTGAATAGTCCTGCATTTGGTCCCAGGAAACCTAAGGGAATGTGATCCCCTCTCAGGAAGTTCAGGACTGTGAGTCATCTTGTTACCCCTTGCCGCAGAGGAATGTGCATCATCCACCTGACCCTCCAGTCTGTTAGTCCCTGAACAAATGCCTTAAAAGCTCTGCCAGCCTTTACTTTGCCTTGCAAGTTAACCTCAGGTACACTCCAGTCCCCAAAGGTCCTTAAAAAGTGAGCCCCGCAGTACCTAGCCCCTGGTCACGGGAACTCCCAGCAGTTACCACGTCTGCTGTCTGCAGAGAGCAGCATGCACACCAGCCTGTTGGATGAGCTGACGAGTCACACTTCAATATACTGCACTGAGTAAATATACAAAAAAGGAATCGAGATTGAGTGACACTAAGCTGAGATAACAGAAATAGTTACAAATAAAACAAAAATAGAACCTGCATTCTAGTGGCTAAAACTTAACAGAGACCATCCTTGTCCAAGCCAGTTTCGCACCTCAACCCCACTCTCAGTGTCACCACGCCACATGGCTGGGATCCACTGGATCCACCATGGCTACAAATGGCCTAACCTCTTTGTTCCCTCCCTGATAACAACCTGCCTTTCCCCCCACTTCTTACAGCCCCTAAACCTCTGATAGGTTTGTTCTCCAGAGGGCTGGTGCCACGCTCTGCTCAGTTTAACCTGGCTTTTCCTGCTGCCTTGCGTACACCTGCAGCTGCCTTGTGTCTGGGCCTTTGCAGTGCTTGAGTTACATCAGAGACCTTGGCAGGCAGGTAACCCAGCATTCCTTTGTCTGGGACACACTTATTCCTCAGCCCTGCCTGGTTACATGGACTGAACATAGGTGCGGATAGCTTCTTTCATAGCAGTCGTACGCACCAGGCTGACTCAGTTTGCAGCTTCTGGGATGAGCCCAGCCAGTTCCATAATCTAGTTTTCAAAACAAGTTCCCTTCCCTATCACTGCGTTCCATAGCACAACTACTACATGTGTATTGCATGCGTTATCTGAACTCACCGTGCCCAAGCAATGGGTGCAAGTAAGAACATAACTGGGGCTTTGTTACTGTTTTATTGTCTTTCCAAGTCAGGGACTCTTGGTTTCACTCTGAAATGTTCCCACACTTTTAAAACTGATATTAACGACAGTGTCTTTCAGTGAGTTCAGACTTTGCCTCTGTGCTTTGCAGTATTTCATCTTGTAGGCTTTGCAGAGCAAAGTCCCATTCAAGGCAGCAGTTACACTGCTCTGAATGATCTTCTGCATGATATTGTCTCAGAAGCTGGTTTTGTCAGCATTGGGCAGGAATCAGAGCAACTGATTTTTTTTGTTGGAGTTCTTGGCTTATCCAATGTCAAAGCAAGTTGCCCCTGCAAAGTTGGCTATGTAGCCCAAAGTCCACTGCAGCATAGAAGGAGAGAAGGCACCCTGCCCAGAGTCTCTTCAGCTTGCTAATTAAGTTAATCAATTAAAAATATGTAGCTCCCCATATTCGTGTTGAAGCTAGATGAGACCGGGGTGGGCTACTGCTGTGGTTGTGCTTCCTGCTCTCCGAGCCGCCACAGGCAAGCCCACGCTTTGCAGAAGAAGTAATGTACAGAGAAGCAGAAGCTGCTGATAATCTTTTTATAGCTTCATATGACATAGGTGTTAAATGTGAGGTTTTTTCCCCCTTTCATCACTTAGCTGGACTGCAGAGTTTCCATCCTTGAGAGATGTGCTGTCACGGGGCAGCTCATGCCTGCTTCACTTTCAGTGGTTTACAACTTAAACTAAAGGCTCAGAGCTTCTGGGGGGTGGAGAGTTAACACAGGTTTCATGGGAAACTTTCTCATTTCGAGTTGACGTTCTGGATCCTTTTTTTTTTTTTTTTAATGTTTAGCCTCTAGACCTTTGCAACCCGGTCCGGACTCTCCTTTTGTCAGAGGAGCTGCTGCTTCATGAAGGCAGAAGCAAGACTGTAAAGGTGAGAATTTCAGTCGCTCCTAACATGGTTATTGTGCTCATGCTTTTTAAACACATTCCTACGCATCTAACGTGTTAGATTGGAAAGGTCAGAGTTTGACTTTTAAAATGCTTCATTCCAGTGGAATTCAAAACCAGTTGTAGCCAGTTCATCTTGGGATAGACTAACTGCCACAGCAGTTGCTGGAGTCTTCTCTTCTTCGGCTCCACTTTGATGGCACGAGACTGAGAGAATACCAGACACATGCCAGTCATTTGCCTAAAAGCCAAGAGGTTTTTGTTTCTGCTTAACTGTTGGCTCAGGACCTGATCCCGGGGGTAGGATTGGGAATCTTTGTGCACTGTGGAAGCTCCCAAAACTGGAGAAACCAAAACAGGCTTCAAGGGAAACCATACCTAGATTTCCCCAGGGTTTGGTTTTTGGTAAGTGTAGGTCCAGAAAGGGGAAATATGCCCTCTCCTAACCCCTGGCCCCTCCTCACTTGCTGCGTTTTGTGCCTGCGGCGTTACCAGGAGGGGTGTGCAAACCCCGACAACCAGACCAGGGCTGGTTACATGCTTGAGCCAGGCTGTGTACATCAGAAGGCTCAACAGCCAAACCCGGGGAATCTGGTGATTTCAGCTGAGTTTTGCTTTGGCTTCATTTGGATCCAAAATGTAGGTGCTGCAAACCCCAAGTATTTGAAGCTGAAGAAGAGGTTTGTCTAGGCTCTGTTGGGCTCTAGTCACCGGTCTCTGCCTGTCGTGAAAGCATGGGACTACGTGTAGTTTGTCTTAGATGATTTTGCTTGAAACACTATCATGCAGAGCACCCTCCTTTTCCTGTCCAAGTAGAGGTGGGAGAAAGGTTTCCGTCAAAATCTTTGATTGCCAAAAAATGTAGATTTGGGTTGACTGAAACATTTTACAAATTTGTGTCAATTTTGGGCAATTTTTTTGGTTGAAATGAAAATTATAATTATAATGAAAATGATAAAACAATAATTTTAAATTGGAAATGCTGAAATGAACCATTTTGACATTAACAAAACATCTCACTTCAATTTTTTGGGCTAGATTTCTATATCAGCCTCCCCAGAGGAAGAGGTACCTGGGCACCCCCACACCTTCAGCCCAGTGGTTAGAGCACTCCCCTGGTGTATAGAGACCCACGTTCAAATCCCTGCTCTGGAGAAGGAGCATGAATCCAGGTCTCCCCCTTCCGCCAGGCGAGTGCCCTAACCCCTGGCTATGGGCTCCTCTGGGGATGGGTCTTGGTCAATATGTCCTGTTGAAGCTGTTCTGTTTGTATAAATACTCCCTGGAGTAGGGACTGGACCCAGGTACCCACCAAGTCAGAGTCATTCTCATGCTGTCTGACCAGCCTCAACAGGAGAGAATGAGAGCTCCCACTGCAATACTCAGCAGCCTGGGGTTGGGGTGCTCACCTGGCGCGGGGGAACCTGGGTTCTAGTTTCTGCTAGCTGGGATTAGAACCTGGGTCTCCCATCTCCCAGGTGAGTGGCCTCACGATTGGGCTAAAGGGGGCATCAGCATCAGCGCCATCTCCTTGAGCTGGGTTTTGTAAATCCAGCCCTTCAGTCCCTTTGCTTTTATTAAAAATCAATTCCTTCGACTCAAAATGAAATGTTTTTGGCTTCTTAGATTCACTGAAAACTCCAAAAGTTTTGGTTTCTGTTCAGCCCAAACTGAAATTATGTTTTCATTTTTTTGGAACTGCCACGAACGGAAAAATCCGTTCTTCCTCCAGCTCGGCTGATACATGTGTAGTCGCTCGGATGGTCGGTAACCTGTTTGGCTGCACGAAATTCTGTGTCATGTCCATGCAGCCACGGAAGGACCTTGTCATTTGCTATTCAGATCCTTTTGTGTTTCATGTTTTTGGAAGGCTGGTTGCGGAGTCTCAGAAAACCACCGCCTCACTCCTGGCCCATGGCACACAAGCATCTGTGTGGTTCAGCTCTGTTAAATTGCTCCTGTTCCTCTCTATGGTGTTCAAAATATAATCCCGCCATCTTTCTGATCTGATTCATTGGTCTTGCCATGAAAGTCATTGGAAAATTGTGTCATTAACTTGGGAAACTCATCACTGATTTGCAACTAGACTCTTGCCCTGCATGCGCCTCAAATGTCCTTCACTGTCACGGCTCTTCTAGGGCTCCAGAGCCCCCCAAGTAAGTGCAGGTATATGCAGCATCAGTGGAGCACTCAGCTGTGGGAGTGCTTCTCCTGTATGGGTGTGGAGGCACTGTCACAATATTTACCTCCCCCCCACCCCTCTGTGGGCAATGATTTAGTCCAGCCCTGATGCCCACTCTGGGTTGATTGGAGTTGCCTGTCTCCGGCGCAGCAAAATGTTAGCTAACCCTGTGTCATTGAGCTGCCATTTCTGGCTGGCCAAGGTGACGGGGGCAGGAAGTGGAAGTAGATGGGAACATGAAGAGGGTCATGCTGAGGCTTTTCTAGCTAGAAGAAATATGCTGCCCTGTCACTATAGCCAAGTGGCTCTGGTTAGCCATTTTGGGGCCCCTGCTGTAGACATCCAAGCTCTGTCAGAGTGAGGGCGCCAGAGAACAAATAGGGCCTGGTGGTCTATCACGTCTAGGGGATGAGAGTGGGAATGAACACAACAGGTTATCAAGTGATCCATTCCCAGCTTCTGGCAAACAGAGGCTAGGGACACCATTCCT